CCTATGGCGCTAGCCTCCCATCCATTAACACGGGCACATTAGATGCAGGGTAATTTACGTTGCAAAAAAAAAAAAAAAAAAATCATCTTACTCATGGTAAATAAGGTAATTTGATTTGAACTCACTGACTCATTGCAAAGGTTGTTTTGACAATTGGAAAATTATAAACTTTAAAAACAACAAGAGACCGCGTATGGTACAGTATTTTCTCGATTTAACAGAATAGTTGAGCCATCCCTCTTCGTTAAATAAAAATTTCTGCTAAATCAAGCTTTCCGTTATGTTAGCTTGATTTACTAAACTATTTCACTAAATCGGCGTGATTCTGCTAAATTCCACGAAACATGCCAGCGAGCTTGGCGTATCTGGTTTTATATATCTGCTCAGTCTGTGTCCTACACCCGCTGCTTGGCTGTCACTGCTACCTCCAACACCACCATCACGCACCCTCAACACCTCTCACACCCTCCAACACCAACATCTCCACCCTCCAAGACCAACACACCCTCCAACACCACCATCACACACCCTCCAACCGACCAACACCAACATCACACCCTCCAACACTACCACCACCACCATCACACACCCCTCCAACACCACCAACACACACCCTCAACACCACCACACACACCCTCCAACACGACCAACACCAACATCACACCCTCCAACACTACCACCACCACCATCACACACCCTCCAACACCACCAACACACACCCTCCAACACCACCATCCACACCCTCCAACACGACCAACACCAACATCACACCCTCAACACCACCAACACACCCTCCAACACCACCATCACACCCTCAACCCAACACCAACATCACACCCTCCAACCTACCACCACCACCATCACACACCCTCAACACCACCAACACACACACCCTCCAACACCACCATCACACCCCTCCAACACCACCATCACACACCTCCAACACCACCAACACCACCTCCAACACCACCATCACACACACCCCTCAACACACCACCATCACACACCCTCCAACACCACCATCACACCTCCAACACACCATCACACACCCTCCAACACCACCAACACACCCTCCAACACCACCATCACACACCCTCGAACACCATCACATACCCTCCAAAACCACCATCACACACCCCCAACACCTCCAACACCACCAACACCTCCAACACCACCATCACACACCCTCCAACACCACCAACACACACCCTCCAACACCACCATCACACCCCTCAACACCACCATCACACACCCCTCCACACCACCAACACACACCTCAACACCACCAACACACACCCTCCAACACCACCATCACACACCCTCCAACACCACCATCACACACCCTCAAGCACCACAACACACACCTCCAACACCACCATCACACACCTCCAACACCACCATCACACACCTCCAGCACCACAACACACACCCTCCAACACCACCATCACACACACCCTCCAACACCACCACACAACCCTCCCACCACCACACACCCTCCAACACCACCATCACACACCCTCCACCACCACCATCACACACCCTCCAACACCACCCACCACACACCTCCAACACCACCATCACACACCTCCAACACCACCAACACACACCTCCAACACCACCATCACACACCCTCCACCACCACCATCACACACCCTCCAACACCACCAACACACACCCTCCAACACCACCATCACACACCAACACCACACACCCTCCAACACCACCCAACACACACCCTCCAACACCCCATCACACACCCCACCACCACCACTCACACACCTCCAACACCACCAAACACACACCCTCCAACACCACCATCACACACACCCTCCAACACCACCATCACACACCCTCCAACACCACCACACACCCTCCAACACCACCAACACACACCTCCAACACCACCATCACACACCTCGAACACCATCACATACCTCCAAACCACCATCACACACCTCCAACACCACCAACACACACCTCCAACACCACCATCACACACCCTCCACCACCACCATCACACACCCTCCAACACCACCAACACACACCCTCCAACACCACCATCACACCCTCCAACACCACCATCACACACCCTCCAACACCACCAACACACCCTCCAACACCACCATCACACCCTCCAACACCACCATCACACACCCTCCAGCACCACAACACACACCCTCCAACACCACCATCACACACCCTCCAACACCACCATCACACACCCTCCAGCACCACAACACACACCCTCCAACAACCATCACACACCTCCAACACCACCATCACACACCTCCAACACCATCATCACACACCCTCCAACACCACCATCACACATCCATCAACACCACGAACACACACCTCCAACACCACCACCACACACCTCCAGCACCACAACACACACCCTCCAACACCACACCATCATCACACACCCTCCAACACCACCACACACCCTCCAACACCACCATCACACCCCCTCCAACAACACCAACACCACCATCACACCCCCCAACACCAACACACCCTCCAACACCACCAACACACACCCTCCAGCACCACAACACACACCCTCCAACACCACCATCACACACCCTCCACACCACACACCTCCAACACCACCATCACACCTCCAACAACAACACCAACACCACCATCACACCTCCAACACCACCAACACACAACCTCCAACACCACCAAATCACACCTCCAACACCACCAACACACACCTTCAACACCACCACTCACACACCTCCAACACCACCACACACATACCTGCCAACACCACCATCACACACCTCCAACACCACCAACACACCAACACCACTAACACACACCAACAACACACACCCTCCAACACCACCAACACACACCTTCAACACCACCATCACACACCCTCCAACACCACCATTACACACACATCAACACCACTAACACACACCCTTCAACACCAACACACACCTTCCAATACCACCAACACACACCCTCAACACCACCATCATACACCTCAACACCACCACCACACACCCCTCAACACCACCACTACACCCTCCAACACCACCAACACACACCCTCCAACACCACCATCACACACCTTTCAACACCAACATCACACACCCCAACACCACCATCACACACCCTTCCAACACCACCACACACACCCCTCTCAACACCACCAACACACACCCACTCCAACACCACCATCACACACCCAAACCACCATCACACACCCCCCAACACCACCACACACCCTCCAACACCACCACACACCCTCCAACACCACCCACACACACACACCTCCAACACCACCCACACACACCCTCCAACACCACCATCACACACCCTCCCAACACCACCTACACACACTCTCCAACACCACCCATCACACACTCTCCTATCACCACCTGTCAATACACTACCCACCCACACACACCTCCAACACCACCCACACACCCTCCAACACCACCATCACAACCATCACACACCCCCAACACCACCATCACACACCCTCCAACACCACCATCACACACACCCCAACACCGCGGAATGTGAGCATCCTGGGTTCTGGCAGGGCACCAGAAGTAGAAAGCCGGAATGTGGGACCGCCAGAAAGTGAGGGTTGACTGTATATATATATAAATATATAAATATATAAATATATAAATAAATAAATATATATATATATATATATATATATATATATATATATATATATATATATATATATATATATATATATATATATATATACATACATACATATATATATATATATATATATATATATATATATATATATATATATATATATATATATATATATATATATATATATATATATATATATATATATATATATATATATATATATATATATATATATATATATATATATATATATATATATATATATATATATATATATATATATATATATATATATATATATATATATATACATACACACAGTGGGTATGCTATAATGAACGGATCCTACTACTAATATTCCTATAACAACGGTTTTACCTATAAAATTGAGAATGCTATACGAACTAAACTCCTACAACGAACATTATTTAATTTTTTTATTTTTTTTTTTTATTACAAGTATTAATGATATTCTTTATTTCAGGGGTTTAGATGCATATGTATGCACTTTTACAATTTTACAATTTTATATTATATTTTTCAGTGTTAAGTGGTTGTATTTGGGGCCTGAACGAATTTATGAATAGCTAATGCTATAACGAACAAGGTTCTAGAACCAATTAGATTCGTTATAGCATATCCACTGTATATATATATATATATATATATATATATATATATATATATATATATATATATATATATATATATATATATATATATATATATATATACACACTCCTGTATATATGTGTGTGTGTGTGTGTGTCTACAAGTATCATGTACACCCACTAAAAATTATTTGGCACCCTTATTGATTTAAGGGCGATTTATGGAATTTTTACGAGTGTTTCTGATTTTACGCATTTTTTGGCTTTACGCGAGGTCCCAGGAATGTAACCCTAGCGTAAGTCGCGAGTGTACCGTACTGTATCTGCCAACAGTCAGTCAAAAATTTTTTAAGTCTCGTGGATAGCTTAATTTCGATCGCAAATCTTTAATAATGGGTCACTAATAATTTTTTGTGAATAAGTGAATTCCCAGATATGGAGTTTGCAAATACAGTGGGGCAAGTGTACCTGTTTTTCATTTAATTTCTTTTAATAATTGCTTACGCTGTGTCATATGGATTTTCTAGCAGCCCAGAGTGTATAACTATTGACTTGGAGATTACGATAGTGGTAGTTCCTCCAAGGCTGTGACCACCCATGGTTCAGCATTGATCCGGCCCTGGTGGTTCCGGAAAATAAGTGGTCGACCTGTATTTATATTTGAAATAAATGTAATATTACACAAAGAAAGATGACTGAATCCCCCTTAACCTCGACTACAGTCAACAAGATAAGAATGTGATGACTAACCTGAAGTTTTAGATGAATCCACAACCTCAAATTCATCGCTGCCACCATTCCCGGTCACCTCAGGCTGACTAATCTCCATCTGCTGAAACAATAGCAATTTGTTAATCTCCACAGGAATAAGAAGTAGAACCATGATAAATCGGACTCATTGGGGCAGACCCCAGTCCGAAAAATGCACTCAACAACGAAGGTCTTTAAGCGTATAAGAAGGTTATTAAAACAATATTACATCAACAATAATAATAAAAATATGAAACCGAACTCTCTGGTCTGAAAATACACACTTTTAAGTCTGGTTGTCAACAACTGTTGTCACTGAGAATAATTTGAGATTGCTATTTACTGTAAAGTGTTATATGTAAGTAACCACAGATTTTGTCTTATGAATAGAGAAAACTATACACTGTACAGTACTAGAAAGATAAAAATAAGAGCAAATAAGTGTAGTACAGGAAAACCTCCGATAACGACGGTTCTAGTAACGACGATTCATATTTAATTTGGAACCCAATTCAATTTACACCATTATTTTCTTCGTATTTACGACAAAAATAGAATAAAAATTTTAATAAAATTACTTTTACATATAAATAATAACTAAATCCCGGTATGTATATATTGTACAAATAAAAAAAAAGCGCCTTGTGAACGAAGGCTGCCGAGTTTGTATAAACAGTCACAGCTTCAGTCACAGGTGGCGGGCCTTTTGTTTTCATACAGCTGAACAGGAACAAGAGAAAATTTTTCTCAGGTTTCTTACGGCATTTTTGTGTCCTTATTCAACATGAGCAAGAGAGCAAGTGATGGTAGTACTGGATCAAAAGCTAAAAGAAAGTGTATAAGCTTAGCCCAAAAACTAGATGTGTTAAAACGATATGAAAAAGGTGAGAGGTCTGTGGATATTATATGGAGCAAGCAATGAACTTATTTTCTAAAGTGGATCCATTAACAGAACAAAGCATTTAAATTAACAGGAACATGAAAAGAAAGCAGTTGTGCAAGGTTCTTTAGACAGTTTTATTATTCGAAGGCCTAAACCATCAACTTCAGCTACACCATCAAATTCAGCATCATAAGCAGCTTCAGCAACAACTTCAGGTTAAGTAACAGTTTCAGTAACAGGTATGACATCTTTATGAAAAGCTACAGCTTCAGCCAGAGTTGAACCTAGAGCTTTAGCCAGAGTTGAACCTAGAGCTTCAGCCAGAGTTGAACCTAGAGCTTCAGCCAGAGTTGAACCTAGAGCTTTAGCCAGAGTTGAACCTACAGCTTTAGCTAGAGTTGAACCTACAGCTTCAGCCAGTTGAACCTACAGCTTTAGCCAGAGTTGAACCTACAGCTTCAGCCAGAGTTGAACCTACAGCTTCAGCCAGAGTTGAACCTGATGACTTCATCATCTGAGTAAAAACTCACACAATATTCACTGGCTGTCCTTATGTTTTAGACTTCATCACCATTGGTGGGTAGAATTTTTGCTTTACATTCATAAGTATTATTTATAGCATATATAAACAGTAATAAGCATTACTTTCCTATTCTTATGTAGAAAAATGACGATTATGGTAACATCTTTTGAACGAAAGAAAGCGAAAGTCATTGTTTTCGTCACGATTTTATCCCACTTTCCACTGTAATACGTACGTCATTTCAGCAAAAATATTACATTTCCGTGAATGTAGTATATCAAGCACAGTATGAATAGAATATCATTGTAATATAACAGTATTTCAACCGAAAACTATTAAAAAAACGAGTAACTTCTCTTGAACATTGGAAGATTAGGTAAAGTCTTTTGTTTTTGTCATGTATTTTATCCTATTTTACATTGAAATACATCACGTTTCAGCAAAACTACTATTTATTTCTGAGAATATATTCATTCAGGCACAGTTTAGGTAAAATATACATGTGCTGTAACATTTTTTTAATTGAAAACGATTCGAAAAACACGTACCCTCTAGCCCTGTTCAAGGAAAAGACTGGAAGGAGCTGTTTGGTGCTGCAGACGATGACAAGGAAAATGATTGTGATGGATTTTAATGAAAGTGGCTGCTGAAGGCTTCCAGGACATGGCAGAGGACGAGATTAGGGAGCTAATTGAAGAGCACGACACTGAGCTGACCGAGGAGGATCTACAGGAGTTAGTAGACTCAGGCAAGGAAGAGGAAGAGGAAGCGGAAGCGAAAGGGAAAGAGGATGAGGAAGAGGAAGAGCACCAAGAAATAACGTTGGAGAAGATGACCAGGAATATTGAGGCACTGAAAAACCTGGCCTATAGTATGGACCCCTCCATGGTGCGTGCCCTGAAATTCATGCGAGGGATGGATGAGGTTTTTGCTCCATACAAAAACATCATGGAAGAAATGAAAAGAAAGAGACGACAACTCCCCATCACCATGTTCTTTGATCACCGAAGGAGAGATTTAACACCATCAATCACTGGCGGCAGTGAGGAAGCAGCTGAATCCACCGTCGCCCCCACTTCACCACCCGTTATGGAATTGAGTGACGATGAGCCCGATGACCCCCGTCCTGTCGCCGAGGATAGGTACTGTACAGTAAAGTGAAATTTTTATCTCTTTTTTTTTAATAGCTTTTCTTGCCATGTTTATTGTTTGTAAAAATGCACAGCACAGTACAGTTCAGTACTGTACATAGGAAGTGGAGGTGCAGTTATTCACAAAACATTTGTGTTTGTTGTCGGCAGCAGTGACGGTGAGGAGGTGGAGGAGGCGGAGGAGGCGGAGGAGGGAGCGGAGGGAGCGAGTTGGGAGGAGTGGTGACCTTGGACGCGGGAGCAGGGACGAGTGGAGATGCCAGCCAGTACATTACGGGTGTATTAATTGTTTTTATAGCTATTTTTGCATTTTAATATTAAATACTATACATTACGTTTCAACGAAACTACCATTTATTTCTGAGAACATGGAAATGTAATATTTTTGCTGAAATGACATACATATTACAGTGGAAAGTGGGATAAAATTGTGACAAAATCAATGACTTTCTCTCTTTCGTTCAAAAGATGTTACCATAATCGCTTTTCGAATGGTTTTCAGTTGTGGGATTATAAGACTAATGATAGGATAGAATATTATTGTAATACAGTACGAGTACAACAGTTTTTTAACTGAAAACCATTCGAAAAGCGATTACGGTAAAATCTTTTGAATAACGAAAGAAAGCGAAAGTCATTGTTTTCGTCATGATTTTATCCCACTTTCCACTGTAATATGTACGTCATTCCAGCAAAAATATTATATTTCCATATTTATTTCTGAGAATACGTATATTCATTCAGTCACAGTTAAGGTAAAATATACTTGTGATGTAATATTTTAATGAAAATACGGTATTGTAGTTTTCTTTTGTTTCAAATTTAATTAACAAAGATTGATGTTTCAAATGTAGTGAACAAAAATTTATGTCCAATATCTATAAATAAACTGTAATAAATGAATACTTTATGTTTTATATCGTCCTGTGCATACCATACCATGGATTTGGCTACTTTGGGCTTGCTATGATGACGCAAGAGATCTGCCCTGGCAACTGTACCGACACTCACAGCTGGTGGTGCGTTGGTGCATCGTTTCCATTGTTTACTGGTAAATATTTTTCAACCTAACGAAACTATTACCCGTTTAGAGGTCGACCCCCAATTTTTTGCCAAATAATTTGGTCTTAAAAACTCGAACTGGACACAGGTATATACGGTAAGTAAGGACATATGGGGGGGGGGGGCAGCAAAAATACGCGGATTTTTAACATCCACGGGTATCTCTGTTACGTAACCCCGAAATATGTCAAGGGCCGACTGTATAGCTCTTTTTGCATTTTAATATTAAATACTGTACATTACGTTTCAACAAAACTACAATTTATTTCTGAGAATATGGAAATGTAATATTTTTGCTGAAATGACGTACGTATTACAATGGAAAGTGGGATAAAATTGTGACGAAAGCAATGAATTTCGCTTTCTTTCGTTCAAAAGATGTTACCGTAATCGCTTTTCGAATGGTTTTCAGTTGTGGGATTATGAGGCTAATGATAGGATAGAATATTATTGTAATACAGTACGGTACAACAGTTTTTTAACTGAAAACCATTCTAAAAGCGATTACGGTAAAATCTTTTGAACAACGAAAGAAAGCGAAAGTCATCGTTTTTGTCATGATTTTATCCCACTTTCCACTGTAATATATATACAGTTGTACCCCACTTAACGCGGTCAATTGAACCCAGAGGGTCCCGCGTTAAGTGAAAACCGCGTTAAGTGAATAACAGAACATATGGGATTAATTCCAATAGAACCCAGCCCGACCCCCAAACTCCACTTTTTGACGACAAATAACTATGTTGTAGTAAAAATAACATCTTAATTTTATGATGGTACATGCACACAATTAATACTTAAGAGAAATAGAGAAATACAGTCGCCAAGTTAATGTCCATTCAAATAATGGACTCAACTCCCTCCCCCTCTTCTCACACTACACTCACTGGCTCTTCCCTCTGAGAAATTTTTGGGGGAAAACCAGGTATAGTAATAAATAATTCCTCAAACTAAAGTTAGGATAATATAATTGACATTGCTGGATTCCTTGTAAGACCAGGAATATTTTGAATATAAATGTCATATATTTTTCACAAAAGATAACATATTTACTCAGAATAAACTTTACATCTAAAATTTGTATGTCTAATGCAAAATCTATGATGTTTATATTCAAAATGATCAGCAAATTGTAAGAATTCCAGCAATGTAAATTATATTCTGGCCGGATAATTTGTATGAATTTTATGAGCTAAAACAAATATCTTCAGTTAATAAAAAAAAAAAAATATTCTTCGACACTATCTGTCAATCAAAGTACCCCACCTTGCCTTCCCCCCCTCTTCCAACCGCGTGGTCAGTCCCAACCCTCCCCCCACCCCCCACCAATCCTCCATTCAAGAGTTTTTAACATTTAGTATTAAATAATACCTCAGATTAAAGTTAGGATAATATAATTGACATTGCTGGATTCCTTGTAAGACCAGGAATATTTTGAATATAAATGTCATATATTTTGGACAAAAGATAACATAATTACCTAGAGAACAATTTTTATCTAAAAATTGTATGTTTAATGCAAAATATATGTTGTTTATATTCAAAATGATCACCAAATTATAAGAATTCCAGCAATGTAAATTATATTCTGACCGGGTAATTTGTATGAATTTTATGAGCTAAAACAAATATCTTCAGTTAATAAAAAAAAAAATAATTCTTCACGGGGTAACAGATGGTCGGTCGGTCGGTCCCTCCCTCCCCCCCACCCCCCACCCCCCACCAACCGTCCCAAGGAGATGTGTGGGATAACCACTAAATTTTAATAAATAATACCTCAAACTAAAGTTAGGATAATATAATTGACATTGCTGGATTCCTTGTAAGACCAGGAATATTTTGAATATAAATGTCATATATTTTGGACAAAAGATAACATAATTACCTAGAGAACAATTTTTATCTAAAAATTGTATGTTTAATGCAAAATATATGTTGTTTATATTCAAAATGATCACCAAATTATAAGAATTCCAGCAATGTAAATTATATTCTGGCTGGGTAATTTGTATGAATTTTATGAGCTAAAACAGGCAGTCAGGCAGGGTGGCGGGTGGGGGGTGGTGCGAATCTAAAAATAGCTCTCGAGCCGGACACTCACCGCGTATATGATGAAAAATGCCGCGTTAAGTGAAAGTTCAGCTTTGGCAAGGCACCGCGTATATGCGAAAACGCGTTAAGTGAAAGCGCGTTAAGCGGGGTAATACTGTATCATTTCAGCAAAAATATTACATTTCCATATTTATTTCTGAGAATATATTCATTCAGTCACAGTTAAGGGAAAATATATGTGTGATGTAATATTTTAATGAAAATACGGTATCGTAGTTTTCTTTTGTTTCAAATTTAATTCACAAAAATTGATGTTTCAAATGTAATGAACAAAAATTTATGTACAGTATCTATAAATAGACTTTAAAAAATAAATTCTTTGTTTTACATCGTCCTGTGCATACCGTACCATGCATTTGGCTACTTTGGGCTTACTATGATGATGCAAGAGATCTGCCCTGGCAACTGTACCGACACTCACAGCTGGTGGTGCGTTGGTGCATCGTTTCCATTGTTTACTGGTAGTTACTGGTAAATATTTTTCAACCTAACGAAACTATTACCCGTTTAGAGGTCGACCCCCAATATTTTGCCAAATAGTTTTGTCTTAAAAACTCGAACTACACACAGGTATATACGGCAAATAAGGACATGGGGGGCCAGGGGTTTTTTAGGGGGGAGGCAGCAAAAGTACACGGATTTTTACCATTCATGGGTATCTCTGTTACCTAACCCCCGCGTATGTTAAGGGCCGACTGTACTGTCATCCCGTCTGGTCCCTGAGATATGCTAGGGACTGTCAGTTCATTGAAAATGTTCAAAGGAGGGCCACCAGACTGGTGCCTGCATTCGGCACCTCAGCTACCCTGAGAGATTGGAGCGCCTGAACTTAGCTTATACTACAGACGGGCAAGGGGTGACCTAGTTGAGGTGTATAAGCATCTCAGGGGGCAGTACTCAGTCGAGTGTCCTTACTTGGAGCTGGCGGACGCTCGCCCCACAAGGGGTCACAGCTCAAGGTTGAAGAAGCTGCAGGTCCAGAAAACTGTGAGGGCAAACTTTTTCAGAGTGAGAGTTGTGAACTCTTGGAACAATCTGCCGGAAAGTGTTGTGACAGCACCGAGTGTGAGCTCTTTCAAGACCACACTTGACCAACACTGGAGCAGGTTCAGGTACATTCAGAAACCAGTGCATGCCCAGTACTTGCCAACAGTGCGTAACAGAGACATGAGAGATAGCGCAAGCGGCTAGCGGGCCGATCAGTGGTGATGAAGATAAAAGTAAGTAACACTGCCCGCAGCAATGCCAGATGCTATTGAACAGCTGATTTCTGCCACAAAGTTGAGTCTAAATATAAATGAACAATGTTGTCTTCCTTCAACATTACGTTTCGTAACATTTTGAAATATGGAGTGAGAAAGCAGAAAGGTTCGGTTGACAAGAGAGATGGAGTGGAAAGGAGTAGTAACATACACTGATGTGTTGCCAAGTGCTCCTCAACAGTTGATCTTGAACCTACTACCATGCACTACAGTTAATCACACACAATTTTACGTCATACAATAAAATCTACACTTAATATACAGGTATTATCCATATTTATTATTAAATATATATAGTGTACTGTACTGTAATGTCTTTAATGAGAATAAAGTGCAGCAGTCTTATCAGATTTCATATAGGCCAGTGCATTTATTTACCTGTATTCATTATTATATATTCTCATATGATCAGTCTTCTATGGTGTATGTTTTATCACAAATAATATAACCTACAGCATTAAATAATAGAATGAAATATGATACTTCAGTTGGGTCTGGATTTACACAGTTTTGGTTGACTCGTTTTGTCATTTACGCGGTGCCTTGCCAGAATTCAAATGCTTGATTTACGTGGAAAATTTGGTCATTTACGCGGGAAGCGGCGCGGGTAGGGTGCGCACAAGGTCGCCCAGTCATCAAAACATTACCGAGTTCTTCACCCGCCACCCACCACAGCCGGCCCAAGTCAGTGATAGTGAGGATATGGACTTCTATGAACTTTGAGGGGTTTGACAAAGAGGCCCTGCAAGCCTCTGTGGTGGAAAGTGATACAATTGACACAAGTGATACAGGTGAGGGCCAATAATCTGCCCTCTGCCACGGAACCAACCCCCAATCCCTGTGTGCCCAGCCATCTTTTCTACTAATGTAAGTGTTAAAAACCTAATATTATTGATATTTCTCTTAATTATTAATTGTGTGTGCATACTATCATAAAATTAAGATGTTATTTTGACTACAAGGTATGTATTGTGTCGGAAAAAGTGGAGTTTGGGGTTCGGCCCAGTCTCTATTTCAATTAATCCCTTATGTTCTGTTATTTCATTTACGTGTTTTTCGTTTTACGCGGTACTCCGTGGGTTCAATTGACCACGTAAATGAAGACCCAACTGTATATATAATTTGACTTAAAAATAAAACAACAAGCTGTCCTGTATTCACCCACAATCTCTTCACTGACCGGTCATCCCTCCTCCTACCCTCAAGAAAGGAAGGGGTGGGGGGACGAATGGTTGCAATTGACTATTTTTAAAATACTCAAGATGTTTATATGCATTGACCACATAAATGACTCTCCTTGACAAACCCTTGATACATGCCATGTCATTATGTGCTGTCACCAATGAAACAACAGGTAGGATCTTGCATATTTCAATGTGTCACAGTTCCAATTAGGTGAGCTATCTCCACAAATGTCCTCAAAGCTTGTTACCACTGGTTGGTACAGCCGGGTGATTACCTCAAACGTGTAATGACGTTCTACCCATCGTGTCCGACACATCTCCTTCAACTTGGTCATCTGTCACATTCTCAAGTGCAGTCTGTCATTTTGGTGCCCTCACACTCAGTCCAACATCACAGCTTCTAGACATCCAGCACCTCTGTACAAGGCTTTGTACTGGACGGGAACCAAGAGGTGAGTGTTGCCACACTCGTGGTTTAGGCGTCCAATTGGGCTACTTGGAGACTGTGTACCGTGACCAAAAAAATTTTGCTGCGATTTGCTTAAAATTGGGCTACTTTGGAATCAGTAAATTTGCGGCACCATAAATGCCCTCTAAATAACGTTTGACTCTGACAGTCAAGCTTTGATGGCCCTGAGCCAATAGGAATGAAGCTGAGAGAATAAGTCGTATACTGTATAATAATAACTATGGTCATGGGGGTTAACTAACCTGGTCGTTACCTTCATCACTTGTCACATTTCTCCCCCCATCTTCATTATGATCTCTTGATCCTCCAGATAATGCCGAAGAACTGCCATGTTGCACCCAGTCGTCTGAAGACTCTGTAACTGACACAAGTATTCACAATTTGAAATAGAGTATAGGAAGGAATGACAGATGTAATGACACATAATTTAATACTGTACTGTGACCTAAAACAACAAACAAATTCAAGTTTTGATACCAATGACAAAAGAGTTACATATACAACCTTATTTTGCCAAGTGTGGGTGAAGCAATAAGTTGATTGATATTTACATGACAAGTAAAATGATCTGTGACTTGGTAAAAATGTTAATATCAATACGGTACCTGAAATGATATGATGAACCAGAAAACACGAATTAATGAATGGTGGAACACAACTGATGAAGACAACAGATAACAAGCAGGAAAAATTCTTACCCTCCACTGATTTCACTGCCTTTTCACTTCTTTGAGAAACAGATAAAGCATTCCCACTGTGGAAGGATGCTGGTAATTGATCAGTACCAATCTGAAAAATGTATTGTGCTCAAGTTATAAAGTCTCGGTAAAATTTATTATTAATACAGAGGGGGTGAACATAAATTTCTATGACCGTATAAAGGCAGGGAGTTGAGAATCTTCTTTAAGACAAAGTAGTTTTACATTGCTTCCATTACAATGCCATTTATATGCTTTTAATGTACACTGACATTAAGAACTAAAAGTTAGAGTTACTAAATATTAAATCCCATAAAAGTCATTCACTTAATTTTGAGATGATGAATATGATTAAAAAAAAAATGTTGAAGGACAGATGTGTAGCTGAGAGACAATCTGACAGGTTAAGAACTGATAGTGTGGGAGGTCATGAAAAGTAGCAAGGACAGGCTAAAAGAACAGACTATGGCAGTTCATATATAACAGGAGAAACAATCATTAACCCTTTAATAATGATGATTCAAATTAAAACTCTTTAAGGGTGATGATGAAAGCTGTAATTAACCAGTTCTTAAACCTTCATCTTTAGAGTCAACGACTACAAATATGAGAGGTACCAGCCGTGTTTACACAATATTACACATGAGCGTACATGTTGTAAACTTAAATACAGAAATATAACAGCTAATCATACAATGTCTACATGACTATATAATGGATTATAACTTTATATGGTACACAGAAGGAAACCTATTCAGCTGCTTAGAGAATGGTACAGCATCTTTTAACGTTTAGTTATCTGGAAAGTATTCCATCAAACATCGCAATACTGAACACAATGAGACAAAAACTAGATTCTTCACAGGCAGTGTGATGAATATTGTGTGTAAGTGAAGATATTAGAATGTACCTAACTGGTTGACTAACATACAAAAGTAACATTAAAGCCAGATTTCATACCTAGTTTCAACATCTACATATTAAAGATAAAGTTTCAGTAAACTTTTGATGCAATTTCTGAATTACAGTTTAAGTCAACTGTAAGAATCGTCATATAAACCTTTATGAATCTGCAACTTGATCTACTCACTTTAGCATTCAGAGTGGGACCAGAGAACCGGTACCAGCTGAAGATCACGACAGCAGAGAGGAACACCATACAAATACCGATACCAATAACGGCTGCTGTGAGTGGGTAGTGGTACATGATGTACCGAAGGCCAGAGAACATGGCGTGAATTCGTAGATGTGCACTGTAAATTTCTACAAATCGGGAATCTAACTCGATATGAACCTCTGAGAGCGCCGTTACCTGTCAACAAGATGTGAAACTTCATTAGAACCTAGTCTCTCACATTCACTTTAAAAGTGGGATAATATTATTTCAGATCTTTTGTATTGCCCAAGAAAAACATATCATTAACTAAATACATTTCTTTGGTGTTGTGTTCATGATGTGCATCAGATTAGCCTTCAACACTTCTACATGCAAAAACACAAATATGCAAATACAGTACTACAGTAATATCTCCGTTAGCCGGAATCCTTCAAACTTGGAAATCTCCGGTAGCTGGAATTGAAATTTGCTCCTAAACTCATTACCCAAAGCCGGAATTTTCCAAAAATTTCCACCTTTAGGGAAAAATTTTCTGAAAATGTCTTGAAAAAAATATGAAAGTTAAATTAATTTTGGGGGGACCTGACCTGACTCAATATCAGGTGGAGATAGGGATTAGTGGTCTCGTATTACTGACCTTCTGATGGAATGTCAAGTCACCCTTTCTTGGGTGGGGAATTAGTGGGTCTCATGACCTGAAGACGTCTTGAATAAACACAAAAGCTAAATTATTTTAGGGGAGATTGTGATAAGTATAAGTATAAATGAGCAAAGTTGTATCCCTTCAACATTACATTATATAACATTTTAAAATATGGAGTGAGAAAACAGAAAGGTGTAGGTGATTAGAGAGATGGAGTAGAAAGGAATGGTAACATGTACCAGTGTTGCCAAGCGATAAGCTCCTCAACAGCTGATCTTTTAATTTGCCTCCCTGCAGTCACAAAAGACCCTCACTGGATGCTTGTTGTCTTAATTCCCATGTGTGTGTGTCTTTCCCCATCCAAACGGGGTTAAAACAAGGGTGTGTACTGGCACCAACTCTCTTTTCCATTTTCTTGTCTGTCTTCCTTACTCATGCCAGTGTCAATTTAGCCAGCGGGGTGGACATCGAGTACCGGATGAAGGGTCTTTTCAACATAAGACGACTCCAGGCAAGAACAAAGGTTTTGGCAGCTTCCATTACTGCAGACGACCTCACCCTTGTTGCTCACACTAAACATGACCTACAGACATCCTGAACACCTACGCAGATGCGTATGCACACTTCGGCCTTGAGGTGAATGTACGTAAGACTCAGATTCTCTTTCAGCCTGTCTCTGGTTCAGCCACGCCTCCACCATCCATCCAGCTTCACGGTACTACCCTCTCTAATGTTACCCACTTTCAGAATCTCGGCTCCCACCTGTCCACCACCGCAGACATTGATTCAGCATCGGATCAGATGTGCATCTCAAACCTTTGGCAGACTCCGAAACTGTGTCTTCAGCTGTAGGGAGCTGAAATTATCTACAAAGCTGCACGTACATCGAGCAGTGGTCCTCCCCACACTGCTATATGGTAGTAAGACATGGGTCACATACAGGAGGCACCTGAAGGCACTTGAAAACTTTCACCAACGTAGTCTATGTTCCATCCTCCGAGTTCACTGGGAAGACAAGAAAACAAATGCCAGTATTCTTGCTGACGCCAACTGCAGGAGCATCGAGGCTACCATTATCCATGAACAGCTACGCTGGACTGGCCATGTTACCCGCATGGATGACAGTAGACTGCCAAAGCAGCTACTTTACAGTCACCTAACTAATAGTAAACATAATGCCAGCGAGGAATTGAAAAGGTATAAGGATAGTCTTAAGACAAACCTGAAAAAGTGCCAAATCGAAACCCCTCACCTAGGAGTCGATTACTCCACTTCGTAACTTTTGGAGGAGCACCACAGGAGAAGGTGTCAATACTTTCGAGTTAGCCGGACTGAAATCCGAGGCAGACAAGCGCCAACACTGGAAAGACGCTGCCACCACCCCTCCCACAGTAGATGGGGCCCTCCACATGTGCAACAAATGCGAACGACGCTCCAGGTCCCGTATCGGCCTCTTTGGTCACCTCAAAACTCACCAACCTAGGTGACATCCCTAATAACTCATATCATTGTCTCATAGCTGGATGATCATCATACTCGATTCCGAGTGACAGCAAAGTAGTAGTAGTTTTAAGCTTTCCAAGCACATTGTAGGAGTTGAAGAAGTTGATGAAGAGTTTGTTCAGGAGTCAGGTGGTAAGGTAACATGCCAAGACACTTACACAGCACACACATAACAGAACTACTAAAATATTGTCTTTTACTTTATAATTTATATTTTAAATTAATTGATACATGATGGCTCGACTGGGCTACATTTGCACTTAGACAACTGATCAATGAATAAACCACATAAATTATCACAACCTGAACTCAAATGTACTAAGTTAATTACTAAATTATTAAGTCTGGTGCAAACTAAGGGATGCTTATACTCAAATTAATCACTATCTTACGAGATTTCCAGCAATGCAAGTTATATTTTTCAAGTCTAGTCAGTGACATTTTACAAGTAAAAAAATTAAACCCCTCTGCCTTTCATAATCATTTAGTAGTATTAATCTCCCCTCCTGGCTGTCAAGACCCCACCTCCCCCCTCCTCCCAGCCAGCAGTGGGGGGAGCAGATGGCATTGGTAATGATTAATAACATTAATTTTATTTTAGGCTTAAAGTTTTCTCTTATAAAATGTCACTGACTTGACTTAAGAAAACATAACTTGCATTGCTGGAATTCTCTTAAGATAGTGATTAATTTAAGTATAAACATCCCTTAGTTTGCACCAGATATAATAATTTTAGTAATTAACTTATTAAAGGTTACATTTAGTACAAAATGAGTACAGGTTGTACCTCTCTAGTCCGGCAACCTCGGGACCTGACCGGTGCCGGACCATGGAAATTGCCGGACCATGGAAATTCACCCTTTTCCTGGATAGATAGTGACTTGTGCTTATGCCTGGAAGCACTAGCACCACTTTCTCTGCATCATGGTCTCTTTGAAGACATATTGAAGGGTTAAATGTCGTATAGTAGCTTCTCAAATTTCGCGAGTTTTTAATTCTTAACGTATTTTATTGGAACACACAAAAAAATAAATAAATAAAAATTTTGACGGCGGAAACTTGAATTTCGACGGGTTTGAACGGCCCGCCAACGTGCAGACGACGTGCATAATCGTGTAAACAGCGTCATTTCTCTTATGTACAAAAGATTCATTATTGTTTATTACTGAATGTCTTTTTTATTGAATTAATGTTTATGTGTGCAAAATGAGCAATACAATTCATTAATAATACGTAGAATATTAAAACACACAAGGAAATGACACAGCATTGTATTCGTTGATTACAAAACCAGTGACTGACTGGTTCTACATATAAAACTGAAGAAAATAAGACCTTGGTTGTAGCTGTAGTAAAATTAATATGGTTGTTTTAAGTAATGTTATTTAATGTTAATAAATGGAACAATAGAAGTAGCTAACGATAATGGTAAAGAAAAAAGAGAGATCGCATATGTACCGTATATCACGGCCTATAAGACGAAATTTGAACATTAAAAAAATCTGCCCAAAGTTAGGGGGTCGTCTAAACCACCAAGTTTAAAATTCTTACCTCTTAAATATTGTGGTTTAATGTGTCAAGAGTGGTGATGAAAACATCGTAAGCCACTCACAAGGTCTTACCACTAATTATTTTATACTGAAACTTACGTTTGGCAAGCTGGATTCAAATTAAGATTACCGGTATATTAAAATAATAAAAATGTATTATAAACCTGTCTAACATACCGTAAAAGAGATTTATACCCCTATAATAAACACAGCTATCATCACACACCCCTCCCCACGCCCCCCCCCCCATTTGCCAGTGAGGAGCCGTGGAGGTGGTCAGTAATGCATACCGGTATCGGTATATTTACTCATAATAATATTTATCTCCTATAAATAATTGATTTAAATTTTATTTTTTTCCAAAGAATATTCAGTAAATGAGTGCATTAATTCTTGAAACTATCGACGGTTAATTACAGACGCTCACGTGACGTCACTAGTGTTTACACTACACCAGCTGGTAATATTTGATGCCATTACTTGAAGTGAATTGGCCTTATTTTAAGTAACTAACTATAAATAAATACAAAAATTAAAAAAAAAGATCAAAACTGAGAAATAATATACTGTATGTATGTTGTGTTGTCAAAGTAAGAGGAACAATTGTGTAAGTACGTAATATTTTTTCACTCAAATCCTAATGAAACACTACTGGAGAACATTCCTTTGTCGCAAAACAGTTTATAAATTAAAGAAAATAATTACAGTGTGTTTAATATATTGCAGTATATTATAAATAAATAAATAAAACAAATAATTCGGTAAATCTATTTAAAGTAAATGGAAAATAAGCAAACATGTTATTTACCAAGACCCTTCCGTCTGGCTCAGGGTGAGATATAGGGGAGATAAAGAAGGCTATTTATAGCCCATCAGAAGTGACCAGTACCCTAATGCACCATAAATAATTCATTGAACATTCATTTTTTGTACATAGTATATTCAGTATATATATATATATATATATATATATATATATATATATATATATATATATATATATATATATATATATATATATATATATATATATATATATATATATATATATATATATATATATATATATATATATATATATATATATATATATTTGTGTAATAAATGTATGTAGTAAGTACATACTGGTAACCTTTTTCACTCAAATCCTAATGAAACACCACAATTAGAATACGGTGGTTGCTGTTGAACCACATGTTGTATAAATAGTCACACCACGAGGGCGAGAACACTCCCAACAGCTTCAGTGGCGTCACTAGTGCACTACACCAGGGTATAATTTGATGACATTACTGAAGTGAATTGGCCTTATTTTAAAAAATCAAGGATGGTTGTAAAGGACTACTGAGTCAGTGGGTAAGTGTCACATTTGGGGTACTGGTCTTATACAGCAAATAGAGCTCAAAAGCTACTTTTAAAATGGAAATTTGGGGCGTCTTATACCCTTATTATAAACCGTGATATCACGATAGTGTATGCGCCTGCGTGAAAACATATCATCATTACTTTACATAAGAATAT